ACGGCTGCTGCTCTCCTAACATGGCTACAGACAAAGGCCTCAGACCTGACACCATCCTTGGTGGGCAGCACGCTGGGCTCCTTCCCCCTCCCCTCAGGCGTCAGCCTGATCCTCCTCTCTGTCCCGGCAGGTTCACCAGGACTGTGTGTTCACCCCGGACGCCCCCTTCCTCTCCTTTAAGCGGGTTCTGTGTGAGCTGGGCCCCGCAGTCTCCAGCGCGGTGCAGCTAATCTCCTTCTACTCCGTCTCCAAGGGCTTCGCCGCAGAGTGAGTGCACCCCTGCTGCCAGGCCTGGAAATGCCCCTTCTCCCACTGTGGATGCTCCAGATGGTGGGTCCTTCCTGTCCCCACTCTGAGATTATGGGGTTCATGTGCCCCTTCACCCTGGTGCCACCCCCAGGATTACAAGGGTATGGGCAGTTCCTGCCCCAGCACATACAAAATCATTGGCCTTTTTTTGGCATATGGACTGCGATGCCAGTTGGGAGGGCAGGTCGGTGATGCCAGTGAGGGAGTAGGCTCCCCCGTCATGGTCAGCTCAGGGACACAGATTGCAAAACCAGTCAGGGACAAGTGCCATCTGGGGCAGAGCCCGTGATGCAGTTGTAATTGTTCTGGCTGTCAGTGCTGGCGTGCCCCAGACCCCTAGGGTGCCAGGTGTACCGCAACTCGGAGGCAAACACCGTAATCTCAGGGTCGTGGGTTCAAGCCCCACGTTGGGCATTTGATCTTGATTTAGTTGGGGATTGGTCCTGCTTTGAGCAGGGGGTTGGACTAGATGACCTCCTGAAGTCCCTTCCAACCCTGATATTCTATGATTCGTGTAGGTGCCAGCCCTGGGAGGTCCCAATAACACTCAGCTACATGGGGTGGGGAGTTGCAGATACCCTAGGTACAGAGGCTTGAACAGTGACAGCTCAAAGCAACTGCCTGTGGAGCTCCCAATCCTTGGAGCTGTGCTCAGCCCAGCTGTTTGATATAAATCGCTCTCTGGTGGGGTGGGCGGAGCTGAGCCGGGAAGACTTGGTATAAAAAGTCACTTGCTGGGCAGACTCGGGAGCCACAGAGGCAGCGGACAGGGCATGGGGAGGGAGCATGGGAGGCTTTCCTTCCTGGTTCAGCATGATGTGTGAAATGGAGATGGCCAGCGAGGGAAGGGATGGAACCCCTGCCTTGGACGTGCCACGTTCTCTCTCCAGGAGGGATTTTCTGTGCATGAGGTGCACCTTGGTGGCTGTGCTGGAAGAAAAGATTCTTGGACTGGAGGAGACACTACTAAGAACCTGAGAAGCTGAGGAGTTCCTAGACAACCAGGTTCGGGGAACACCAGTACTCCAGGTTCAAGGGAGATTGGAGCTGACCACAAAGGAATTGGTAGGAGACGGAGTGAGAGAGGAGGCTTGGCTCTTGGTAACCACCAGAGGCAGGAGGTCACGGCAGCATTCTACACAGCTGGAGACAGATGAGGCTAGACAGACTGTGGCCCCAGAGAGAAGAGAAGCGGGAGGAATTCCACACAGTCAGACATTTCAAATGGATATCAGGGCCTCAGTGTGGAAACTCTCCAGACCCAGCAGGTCTAGGGGAACGGAGAGGTGTATGGGACACATGTGGATGGCAGCTTGGTCCAACCTGTAAGAAAATCAAGCTTAATCATGAAGAGTTCTCCAACCATCCGAGGAAGACAGATCATCCTTGTTGGGGATTCAATACTCAGAAGAATCGAAAGAACGTTCTGCAAGGGACAAGCAGACAACAGGATGGTGTGCTGCCTTCCCGAAGCCAAGACTGGCTCAGCTTCTGAAGGCAATGGGCAAGGATCCACTGGTGATGGTTCACATCGGCACTAATGATAGCTCACGGAAAGTAGATGACCTCAGGACACTCAGAGGCATGCTGAAGAAGAAGAATGTCCAAGCCATCTCTGAGATCCTTCCTGTCCCACAAGCAAAGGAAGACTGAAGGCAAAAGATTCTGGCCGTGAATTGCTGGCTAGGTAAGTGGTGTAGGGTGGAGGGCTTTGGTTTTGTGGAGCACTGGTCCACCTTCCATGGGGAGAGGGGGCTGTATAGGTTGGATGGCCTCCCCCTTCAGTAGAAGGGAGACCAACCTCCTCAGGAACAGGCTGGCTGGAGTGGTCAGGAAGGGGTTAAACTAATAGCAAAATGGGGGAGGGGGTAAAAATAGGGAAGCTCGGAGCGCTCAGCACAAAATCGCGATGTGGAGACCAAAATGAATCAAGGAGCCAAAGGACACGAAGAGAAGAAATTCTTGAATTGCCTCTGCACCAATGCTAGGAGCCTGGGTGAGAGACAAGAGGAACTGGACTTGCTCACTGATGAATGTAAATGCGATCGAGTTGGTATTCCTGAAACCTGCTGGGCTGATTCCCATGCCTGGAATGTGAAAGTCGATATTTATAACCTATTTAGGAAAGCACAAGTGGGCCAACGGGAAGGGGGAGTGGTACTGCATGTCAAAAATGGCACGATCTGTTTGTGAGTCATGGTTAACTCAGAAGAAAATGATCTTGAATGATTATGGATCAATGGCCTAACAGATAAAGCACAAGATGGGATACTAGCTGGTGTCTGCTACATGCCATCAAATCACACTAGGGAACAGGATGACCTGCTCCTTACCCATCCATCTATAATGTAGGGGGGAAAAGGTGCGTGATCATGGGGGACTTCAATCTGAGTGACATATGCTGGAGGTCTCATGCTGCCAGTACTAAAAGATTATCGGAATTTCTAAACGTTATAGATGACAATTTCCTAACTCAAAAAGTGTTGCAGCCAACAGGGGGAATTATTAGACCTTGTCCTAACAGATAAAGAGGAATCATAGAATATGAGGGTTGGAAGGGACTTCAGGAGGTCATCTGGTCCCACTCCCTGCCCAAAGCAGGACCAATCCCCAACT